CAGCAGCAGCAGCAGCAGCAGCAGCAGCAGCAGCAGCAGCAGCAGCAGCAGCAGCAAATGGGATAGAACTGAACATCAGTGTCTCTGTGAGACGTCGTCTAAGCCTCAAAATGAAAAAGCATGGGCAATGGGAAACTCACCAATTTCAGAGTTTTGATACTTTCATGAATTGGTCTTGGCAATCCCACTACGGTGTTGGTGTCGCTAGAGAGAAAAGGGAAAACTGTAAAAGTCAGCTGATAAAAATAATTTAAAAATAAAAATAGGTTATTTTGATAAACCTGCAAACTGGAGAGTTACAAACAACGGCTTTTATAGAAAGACATGTGTTCAGCCCTGTATATTATGTAAGAAAAAATATAACAGATGGATAAATTAAATATACTTCTTTTTATGTTAAACTTATGAAATTAGCTATTTCAGAACCTAAATAAAATAGAAATAAATTTTAAATAAAGGCACCTTATATACATTTATATTTTATTTTTAATATATTTAAGTCTTTCTTTAAAAAGTTATGAAAGATACTTTGCTGTAGTGGTTAAAGGCACCAGGCTAGAAACCAGGAGACTGTGAGTTCTAGTCCCTTTAGGCACAAGGCCACCTGGGTGATTTTGGGCCAGTCACTCTCTCTCAGCCCTAGGAAGAAGGCAAGGGCAAACCACTTCTGAAAAATGTTTCTCAGAAAATTGCATGGACTTGCCCATGTAACCAGGAAACAAGACTGACTCAAAGGCATTGAAAAAAAAAAAGTTACAGGTAGTCCTTGGATTATGATGGTAATTGGGACCAGAACTGCCATCGCTAAGTGATGCAGCTGTAAAGAGTGATGTCATGTGACTGTGTTGCTTAGCAATAGCAGTCCCAGCAGTCCCAGTTGCCATTGTTAAGGGAGGACCATGAGGGTTATTAAGTGAGGACCTCATGTGACTGTGACTTCCAACTTCCCCATTGACTTTGCTTGTGGGAAGCTAGCAGGGAACATCAGAAATCATGATCACATGATTGTGGCTCACTGTGACATCGTAATTGAGAGCCAGTCACCTGGATTGCAGTCACATGATCACAGGGATGCTGTGACAGCCAGAACTCCAAGGACCCATCATACACCCCCTCATTCAGCACCATTGCAAGTCTGAATCATTACTGAATGAGAAGTCGTAACTTGAGGACCACCTAAACACATAACCTTTAAAAATTGTTATCTAAAATAGCATAAAAGGTTACTGCTACATTTATACTTTTGAAATGCCTTATGAAATTATTTGAAAAGAGGGAGCTGGGAATCCCTTTTTACTGGGCAGAATGTGCAATACTAGAGCAGAAATTTATACATGAATGTTCCAGTAATGGTACCAGCAAGAATGTTTAAAAGACAATAAAGCTTCATATCCTGATGTCTTAACACACATATACATTTCAAATTACCAACTAGTTTAGCTTAATGGACAACATGCAAATGAAGCTGCTTTAACTTACCTCCCCAAAGTATAGCCAATGAATTTGCTTCGACTAGATTCCAGAAACATCTCAATATCTTTTTCCCTACAGAAAAGAAATCAAATCAACAATCAATCAAACCTTCAGAGACTTGTTCCAGCAGGAATCGGTTGTGGAGGACTAGCCAGTGCTGGCTCTAGACATGGCCTTTCCAACTCTATATCCAAGAGCAGTCATACATACACACACATATCCTTCTCACTGCAATTACTCATCTCTTGAATTCATTGAAAGCACTAGACATTGCATATATCATAATAGCTCTGTTGTTTATACAGGTAGTCCTCAACTAACGACCACAATTGGGACTAGAATTTCCATCGCTAAGAGATGTGGTCATAAAGCGAGATGTCACACAACCACTTCACTTATTGATCGCAATCCCGGCACTCCCTGTTGCCATTATTAACCGAGAATCATGGATTGTTAAGTGAGTACCCACCCCAATCCAAGCCATTCCAGGCTTGGTCCCTTCCAGCCCCGAGCCTCAGTAAGGTAAGAGACTGCCTCCAACTCCTCCCACCTGCATATCTCCCCCCCAACTCTGCCCTTTTGGCCACCCTGCACCCTGCCTTGCAGGGAAGCAAGCAGCCCCAGAACTGCATGGCTCTAGGGTTGCTTGCCACGTCCCAGGAAGCCACAGCCACCCCAGTTCAGTCCAGTCCCAGTCATCCTTGCCACCCTGCACTCCAAGACCTCTGCTACCCTGCACATCACTGCCCCAGCTGATATTCGCCATCTTATTGCTCCTGCTGCTGGGCTGGGGTTGGGCTTCATGCTGCAACCAAAAAAAAAAAAAAACCAAGAGCAGCTGAGCCACGGCATGCCAAAAAGCCCTTTACCTTTGCTGCTTTTTTGTGGGGGGGGGGGAATGTGAAGCCCCGCTCCGCCCAGGAGCTCTTTGCAAAGGAGCTGCTTTTGGCTTTTTTGGTGGGGGGAACGTGAAGCCCAGCCCCACCCAAAAGTTCTTTGCAAAGTGGCTGCTTCTGGCTTTTTTTTTTTTTGGTTGCAGCATGAAGCCCAACCCCAGCCCAGCAGCAGGAGCAATAAGATGGCGAATATCAGCTGGGGCAGTGATGTGCAGGGTAGCAGAGGTCTTGGAGTGCA